AGTCTTCTCGATGATCAAGAAGGCTGGTGGCAACTAGAGGTGGTGGAATTTTGAGTTCCGTTATCAGATTACAGAAGTACATGTGCACAGTTGAAGCGCAGGTGAACATTGTTCCGTGGCTTCAAGTGGGAGATTGTTGAGTGTGAAGCCAGGAAGCTAGGTGGAAGCTAACAGGAAATTGGCAGGAAGCTACCTAGAAGCTTACGGCTTAATCATTGTCTCCCTAACTAATCTCTATTTAAGAGATGCTAATGTGCTTGTAATGGTGTGCAACAAAAATAATAAAATCCTCCTAGTTGCCCCGTGTGGACGTAGGTTGCAGTTGGCGGCCGAACCACGTTAAATCTTGTGTCATTTATTTTTCTGCAGTTGATTCGTGATTGTGTGTTGTTTCCGCGTGCGTTTATTCCCAACATATGATGCAGTTTCTTTCTCCATTGTTGTTCTACTAGCTTCTGATACTTTAGATTCTTGAGGTTTTTCATAAGCATCTTCCGCCTCAACAGAAGCATCCAAAGTAGTCGCTAGAGAAGGTTTTTTGATTGTTGGCGCTATCTTGCTTGGACTCTGTTTTTCGCAGGTGTTTCCACCATTGGATAGAGTTTTAACCCGGTAAATACAATGTTAATGGGTTCAGCAATCTAATAAAATGAATACAACGTTCAACTCGTGCAAAGAAAGCTAGAAACACATGTCTTTGAGTTGCCAACAAAGGAGCCATGAAGCACTTCAGTGAGTTTGCTCCCACAGAATGGTATATGAAGCTGATCATTGTCAAGAGTAGGAACATAACACACTCTTTAAGAGCCAACAGACTCTTGTTAATTTCTGCTTCCTCAATCCCAAAACCAAACAAGAATGTATACTTCAACATATTGGAGCAAAGGTCCATATATAAGAATTTTAGAGGTGGAGGAAGAAAAGGGTAAACACAGAAAGATAACTCCCTCCGTCCCAAAAAGTCTTTCCTCTCATAAAACACTTTTATCCCGCCTTGAATGCCAAAAAAACTTTCAAAATAACTTCTACCCACAATAAAGAAGAGATGTTGTAAATTTTATGCATTTTAGATGTCGGTAGAAGTGTTTTACGGGATGCGCAAAAAATGAAACAGGAAAGACTTTTTGGGATGGAGGGAGTAGAACTCAAGCATTATTGCCTCTAGATTCCTTACTTTTCTGTGTTTCTTGATGGCAAGTTGTAGTATCGCATGAGATCTTGATGATTCCTCGTTGGTACCAGTGGAGCATGTACTTCTTGAATCATTTTCCCTCTCAATACACTCTTTAACAACCTGCGCCTCTGAAACTTCAAATTCCTGGAACCCAACAATGCCAAAACCTGCTGACGCGCAACTTCTCTCATACAGAGTTTACTACGTAAACGCAATAGCATGTCGCAAAAATATGAAATATAAGTGTTCCGTACATGAAGTTCCATATTGATGAAACAAACTATAGGTTTGACAATTTTTTATTCATAATAAGTTGGACAACAAATACATCTAAAGTTGATATTGCAGTGCTGGCAAGGGCACATAGTGGAAAAGAGACGAAAACAATATTGAAAGATCATCACACTGTTATGCATATTATGGACTGTTTTAGGGTAGAGAAAACTGTAGAACTTTTGAAGCAAAAGAGAGGACCATTTCTTATTTTGAATTTCAATGCATTTGGCTTTAGACTTTTGGTGCTAAGGAAATATTAAAAAAAAATACATTTTGACAAACTCGTAGGATTTTCGGACTCACTCATCGAGAGACAATGGTTGATGCAGCAATCTAACAACATCCTCTGCATCACTGAGAGACAATGGCTGTATTGTGCAAGTCTTACCATGCCACCACCTGAACCTCGCCGGCATCTAACTCTCTTTACAACAAAGAGTGGGCCTTTCAACTTCAACAGCACATGAACCCTCTCCCAAACCTAAGAAAGGCAAAAAGATGGTCAGCAATGAAAGCAGCAATAAAACGAACATGCAAAGCTATTACAGGATTTCCGATGGAATAAGTCTTTTCTCCAATGACCAAGTCTCCAGCTTTTCTTAGTTTGATTGGGTTTAAATTCAAGGTAGGACCCTTAACGCGGATAACATCAATGTCTCGCAATGGGTCTGCGTTGATCAACAAGCTAGGCATCATGCCAAGTACGATGAGCGGCAACTCAGAAACTTCCCTTAACTTACATTGAAAAATATTTCAATTACGGTTAAACACTCCAACATTGCAAAACTCTCAAACTCAGTGCAACAAAAGTAGAGCATGTGTATGACAGTGTATATAAAACACAAACACTCTACAAATATATACCAATATAAGAGTTTAATGTTTGTTTACGTGTTTCAGGTACAACAAGAATCAATTAAGATTCGGTTCTCAAGAATGAAGTCGAAACACTAAACTAGCGTAGAATATAGGTAGAAATCGATGTAAGGATATGATTTTATATACCTATATTCACAAGCTCAAAAACCCTTTTATAATCATTTTCAAACATCCAAAAGGTTTTAAACAAAATTGGAAACAATTTGGACAAAAATGAAAAAATTGACAAAATGGTCACTAGCTACCTAGGTACCGTGAGTCAATCTGAGAAGTTACCCCTACCGTAAGGGGCACCGTAAGAGGATAGGTAGGGTTAGAAAGTTTTGGCCTGAGAAGGTACCTATCTACCGTACGGTGCCTAGCTACCGTGACAGTGTACCGTTACCGTTGGAACACTATTCCTGATTGATGATTTTTGAATTAATTCAACCCTAATCACCTCCTAACGGCTAACTAACATCTTCCACTATAAATATAGGCCTAATACTTCATATTTCAACAAGAAACAAAACTCCAAACATCCTCCCTTTATATTCTAAGTGTGTTCATTCTTTTATTCATTATTTTCAATATTTTAGCTATTTCAAGAGCCTTAAATTCCTGATTTTCATACACACATCTTGAGCTTGTGTTTCTAGTTATATACTCTCATATTCATAAGTTTATATTGTATTTTTGAGAGAGTATTATTTCCTTCTACACCGGCTAAGTTTTGTTCTTCATTTTTATATTTTAGCCGTTGGGTAGAATCGTTGTTTGTGTTCTTCAAACACACCTTCTTACGGTCGAGAATAGCCGTTAAATTCTCACATTGTAACGGTTAAGGATAGCCGTATAAATCATTGGGTAAAAGTTCAATGATAGCATTTGAAATCCTTGGGGGAACGGTAGAAGATAGCCGCTAAATCTTCATTGTAAAGAGTTCGAGATAGCCATTGTAAAATCTCGGAGCGAATCTTATTGGCAAGGGTTGTTTGCCAAAATAGTGCGGTGCTTTGACGGAATTCAAGAGACCGGAACTTAGTGGATTCGGAAATCCTTGAGGAGGAGCCTCGAGGTACTGGAGTAGGGAGTTCCCGAACCAGTATAAAATTGGTGTGTCTTTTACTTAACGCCTTTATTTCTGCGTTTTACTTATTGCTTCTACATTTGCCAACACCGTTTTTATCAAACTTCGAAAATTTTTTTAAACGCCTTATTCACCCCCTCTAAGACGTAGGCACGACGACTAAACCGACTAACACGGACCAGGACGGATGGAGCATTTGATAAGTGTGTTGTGTATGTATTTATCTATTTCATATTTAATGTGTTATTGTCATGCTCGTTGCCATTTATTTGTAAATACTTTTGTTCACAATCCACAAAAGTTATGTGCCTAAGGAATAAAAGTTTGGTCAAACGCAATATAAAAGTGCTTAAAAGTACAATAGCGATGTATTTTATGATAAAACGCAAAATTTCCATTTATCCCAAATTAGTTTCATGTTTTCTTTTTTGAAATTGTTTTTGGTATTGTTATCTTTCTCTTTTTTCTACATCACTTTTAACTATCTAATTTTATCACATTTTTAAACTTCGTGCTAATCTCGACAAGAAGATTGATTTGGGACGGAAGAAATAGTTTTTTGTCTGCATTGAGAACCATATAGTCTCTCAAAAAAAATAAAACTAAAATTATATCGTGATTTATCGTCGTGCGCTTTCCACTTTTTGTTTAATCCCATATTTGTTGGGAATTATGACCGTACGGGTGAGTATTATTAATGAGAGTGTTTGAAGGTAAATATAATTCAACTACTCGCTTCATTCTTTTAATATTTGTCTGACATATTTGTAGTAATACTATTACTCAGCGTGTAATAACAAAGTAGCCTATTGGAGGGAGTTAATGCATGCAATGCGTGATTAAACTAAGAGCACTGGAAGTACTCATAATGTTGGTGGACGTCTTTTCGTTTTTAACGCCCAACACGTTATATACCACCCCCTGGGGGCTTCATTATATTGTGTATATGCGCAATATTACATCTTTGTGATTAGTATTTAAAAAATTTGAATATTATATAGATAAAGATTGATACTTCCTCCTTCCTAAAAAGAATTTCCTATTTTGATTAACGTGCAAAACCCCGTAGATTTTAAAATAATTTTATTTGAAAATTGGTAAGGAAATAACACATAAAAAGTTATATTTAAAAACTACATCGAAAACTCTACAAAATAAGAGGCGACAAGAATATTTTATTTTATCAAATGATCAATGAAAATACGCAAACAAATTGGAGTTATCGAGAGGCCGTAATAGTAAACAGGAAAGACTTTTTGGTACGAAGGGAGTAATAAATTAGATCAAGATTTAACAATAATTTTATTAAATTGTTTTCTTATATCCCTCCATTTCTTAAGCCCCACCTTCATTTTTTACATGTTTCACAAAACATTTTTACGGCACATAAAATATCTAAAAGTCATCATATTTCTCTTTAATTACGGGTACGTAGAAGTCTTAAGAGTATTTTAGATGAGATGATTGGCTAACCAAGGTTACGTTAAGATTATGAGTGGAGTTCCGTTGACAGTGGCCAACGATGCCACTAGCGGTTTCACTGCATTTTTGGAGCACTGGAGGTGCTCCAATCAGAAAAATCGATAGTTCCTACCCCCTAACCCGCACATAAGCCCCCAGCCCAGCCCCGCCCTAAGCCCCTCTCAAAATGTGTGGCTATTATGCAATATAATGCATAATAACCACACATTTGGAGGGTGGCTTAGGTCATGATGTCTTCACCTGATTTGATTAGTTCTGATCTGATTGGAATAATTTCTGATCTGGTTTGATCTGATCTTAATGCAATTATATTTAAAGTTATTTTTTATCTGATCTCGTCTGATCTGATTTCAATAAGAATAAGTAATAAGAAAAATAATAAGTTGGGGAAAACACGGCTTTAGGTTGGGGCTGTGATGGGGGGAGGGGTGAGGTTAGGGTAGAGGTTTAGGGGTGGGTTAGGAGCATTGAAGGTGCTCCAAAACCGCAGTCGCACATTTAGTAGTCCCGTTGGCCGCTACAACGGAACCATGTCCTAAGAATATTTGGCATTTTTATAGGTAATCTATACACTCTACATGTAACATGTATCCCCTAAGCCAACCACCACACACCTACACACACATATTTCACCATTGAGTAAGTTGTAGTAATAAATTCATGGGGAGCCACTTTCACCGAGTTTCACCACTCTCCTCAATCCCACAAAAAACTTTCAATCTATACATTTTATTCATCTCAAAAAATGTTTCTTGTTTGTGATCATTCTGATGTTTTTGAAATCTTACATATTTTAATTGTTATGATTTCTTCTTAGTCAAACTTCTTTGACTTTCCTACCCAAAAGTCTTTTTAAAAAAGTTTTGTTAGATGGAAGAGTATAAAATCTACCATTGACGACTTGAATTTGAACTACTCTCTCCCCTGGTAAGTTACAACATTAATTGCCTCATCAATCCAACAAAACCACACACCTCTTTCTAGCTCCCCCCTCACTACTACCTCCCTCTCACTTTTATTTCATTCATACCAATTTTTTTTTTTCAAATTTCAAAAAAAAATATGATGAAACTCATCCCATCTTTCCTCTCCAAACCCTCCGAACCAACCCCGCCGCAGCCTCCCCGAGCGGACCCCGCCCCCGCCACCGCCACCGTTGACGATGACAACGATCACCTGCAGTGCTTCGCTTCTCTTGAAGACGACGAGTGTGTCGAGAAGGTCATCAGAGGGGTAAAATCGTCCGGGCGTCTTTTTTTCGAGCCCGGGCAATCCCTCATCAGCTTCCAGAAACCGGCGACGACGGACGGCCCGTTCGTCGTCGAGGAGAGCGAGGCGTTGTCGCTCGACTCGACGGACCCGTTTTCCGACTTCAAGAGATCAATGGAGGAGATGGTGGCTGCCCACCACCACCACCACCACCATCAAGATGATCAAAAGCATGGTTTGGATTGGGAGTTTCTTGAAGAACTGTTGACTTGTTATCTGAAGATCAATGAGAAAGGGAACCATGGTTACATAGTGGGAGCCTTTGTGGATTTGTTGGTTACCCTTTCTATCCATTCTTCTTCCTCCTCCTCATCCTCTTCTTCTTCAGCTGTTGCTAGCCATTCTTTTACATCTCCATTATCATTTTGTTCTTCAAATGGCTCTGCAATCAGTCCATGTTTGTCCTCTTCTGCACAGGAAGCTGAAGATGAGGTTCAAAGTTCGGCAGGCACTGTTTGAAACACTAAGGGGATGTGGATTTTTTTGTTGTTGCTATCTTATGGATCATGCTTTTTTTTGTGGTTATAAATGATTTTAAGTGTTAGGGTTAGGGCTCTTAATGTAAAAAAAAATGTTATTAACACAAAAATGGGGGCTAGATTTTAACCATTTAGCATTGTGGTTCTCATATTTTGTTAGTGTTTTCCGATGATTATAAATTAATCAAAACTACTTATAAGTTAGTTTTAAGTTATAAGTCGGTGCATAATGCGTTTTTTGTGCTTTTACCTTGTTTGTAAGTAAAAGTTATCCTGTATATATGACCAGATTATTTACTAAAAGTGCAATGCTAGGGGTATACCAGCATGGGATACCACATACGTACACCAAGCCAACATAGACACACACAGATATAAAGTGTCTGTGTATTAGCTTAGTGTACATATGGGGTTCTCCATGTTGGTGTACTCCTAGGTTATTAAAATTATACCTCACCTTTTTTGCATATTTCCAAATGACATACTTATTTCTTATTTAAGTCACTTAATAAAAAAATATTTAAATAAATAGTTATAGATTACAAATTGTTTATAAATAAGAAGCCAATAAGCACTCATAAAATACCATATCTAGGATAGGGTAAGTTGTATGAGTTGTTTGTAGTTGTTGTTAAGACGACTATTGGTAAATGTTAGACTTAGATCTTCATTTGAGTTGTTGTTGTAGTGATAGAAATTTATGGTCTTGATCCTGTTTAATTTGAAAATAACGTACGTTTTCGATTAACATTTTTTGTTTTGAATTTCTTTTAATACTATCGTTAAATACTCGATTTATTCAAAATGTTGAAAGTGTTCTCAAAGAGACCCTACATATACTCCCTCATAAACCCAAAAAAAGAAAAGAAAAATCAATAACAATGGAACCTTGTTGGCAAATAATTCTTTTTTTTGAGAGAGGTCATACATAATATCATCTACTCCCTCTATTTTAAAAAACTCTTCCTCTTTCATTTTTTTTATTTCCAACAAAACAGTTCCACTTTCTATTAAAAAACTACTTTTACCTTTACTTTTTCATACCCTACCTATCACATCATACTTTTTCTCTAATACTCAATCTATCACATCTTACTTTTACTCATCACATCAAGGGCAAAATTGAAAGTCAACTACAATTTAACACTTCATTATTTTTACACAAAATCAAAATAGGAATACTTTTATAGAACGGAGGGAGTACATTTATGAACTTTATTTGAAGTTTCATTTTCTTGGTAAATAATACTGAGTATTTTTAATTGATTAATCATTTAGTTATTCACAATCACACCTCAATTCAAATGTTTTTGTGGTTGATAATCTTGATATACACGGGGCCGGCTTGAAATGAAAACAATAAGAAAAATCATGTGCTAGAACATGTTTTATACGGAGTATATACTAATCCTTTCGTCCCATAAAGACAGGGACATATTGAGTAAAGTGATAAAATAAGGGATGGATAATTTTGTGTTGATTTTTTAAAAATATCCTTGATGTGATGGGTAAAACTTAAAAGTAAGATGTGATGGTAAAAGTAAGATGTGATGTGTAGATTATTAAGAAAAATGTATGATGCAATAGATAAGGTATGAAACAGTAAAGGATAAAGTGATTTTTAATAAAAATGAGGACTTTTGGGGACATGATTTTTTAAAACGTGGAGGACTTTTTGGAATGAAGGGAGTATATGTTACGTTTTACTATGTCTGGTGCATGACGAACGAGTGAGCCAGATCTTTTTTTGTTGCATGACGAATGAGCGAGCCAGATCTTTTTTGTTGTATGACGAAGGAGCTTGATGTTACGTTTATTGAGTTTTTCCAGTAAGAGAGTTGGTGATTGGAGCGAGGGCGAAGAGTTTCTTTTTTTTCTCTTTTTGGACCGTTATCTACTTATGTATCATTTTCCGTGCTCTCGATCTCTAGAATAAATAAAGACAGATGCAACTTCCCCTTTCTTCAGTCATGCACATGATTATTATTTTTTTAGAAGAGAGATATATTGGACTTTTTTTAGAGAGAAAGAGGGGAATAATGGATGGTGGTTGTTACGCACACTTGTCGAGATCGGTCGGTGACACCATGATGTCAGACGGTCGACCACCGTGAACAGAGACCGGCGATTGCTCGGTTGGAAAAGGAAGGGCTAGGCTTTTAAGAACCTTAGCTCACATGTCATGATACAATTTGATAATAATTGGTCATACTCAATCATGAAGAATGCATCCCTATATATAAGGATTACAAGAGATAATTTTAATTTAAATAGGAGAAGAATTATAATAAGAATACTATAAGTAATGTACTAATAAGAAAGATACTGGTATATAGCAAACAATAATATTCTACTCCTAATACAATATACTCGGTGTATGTAGTTAAGTTAATAACTTGTAGATAAAAATAATGCAACAATGAAAAGTGGCCAAATTTTACGTGGATAAAAAGCATTTCCAAATGCAACCATTGTGAGAAAAGGGAGTTTGATGAATGGTTGCCTGCAGTTGTTTAAAGGTCACTGTTTACAACAACTGAAAATAATGGAGTGTATGGACCATTGAATGAGTGTGACCACATTGAATCCAACTTAGCATTAGCAGTTCACCTACGCATTTAATTACCCAACCCCCACGAGACCACGTACTATACGGTTCTACCTCGTTGGGTCCGGTCCGGTCCGGTCCAAGTAGGCTCGATCAGTCTCATCGGGCCGACCAAATCATTCAGAAAAATGAAGTCGGTCCTGATGAATATTAATTCACTGATGAAATATAAGAACGATATAGTTTATTACTTCATCCGTTCTCAAAAACACTTTCACTTTCATTTTTTCACTTCCAACAAAACACTTCCACTTTCTATTTAAAAAAACCACTTTTACCCTTATTTTTTCATACCCTAGCTATCACATCATACTTTTTTTCTAATAATCTATCCATCATATCTTACTTTTACTTATCACATCAGGGGCAAAATTGGAAGTCAACTATAATTTAACACTTCCTTATTTTGGCTCCAAGTCAAACTAAAAAGTTTTTTTGCAAACGGAGGGATCGGAGTAGATTATAGAAATCTTAAGAGAGACGAAAGTCTATGTTGCACTTTGAATATCGTGAAACCTTAATTACCAAAGAGGGAACGTAGTCATTATTTTTTTCTGGATCGGCCAATAGCGTAAATCATTAAACATGATTATCTTGGGCCCAATCACACTCTCCCATAATCCTTTAGATAGGCCTCGCTTTTGGGTCGCAGTACTCCCTAGCCCATATCACATGGGCCTCTGCTTCGCTACCGAACGAGGCTACTGCATCCCTTCTCTCGCGATAACATGACCGGAATCTTGAGCAAAATTATACATAAGCTATTAACAACAACAAACGAGTTGGATAAAAAATAATAAATGAATAGTTTTTCGCGTCATCTATCCTCGAACTCTTTGAAAATTGCCTGAATTCACTGGATATACTGGACTGACTCTCATCCCGTCACGTCATATCTAATTTTAGTGTTTTGGAGATTAGTATTACATCTAAAAATTTGCTTATACCCTTATAGTAAGTGAACATATGTTATGGGGTTTCATCAGTTTACCTTTTTTGCACCCCATTTTGGTGAATGAAAAAATAAAAAACAAATATTTTGATGATACACATACAATGAAAGACAGGACCAAAAGGGAAAAGGTATATTTAGGCTATTTGGTTGCAAATCCACATCCTCAATTTCTAAATTAATACTCTATTGTGACTACGTACGTTCCATCCATCTTTTTTGGCTTGTTTGATTAAAAAACACATCTTCCCAAATTAAACCTTTCAGTTGTGACGCACTCTCTCACCTCGGTCGAGAAGTTCAATTGTCTTGATTGATGCTTTTAATCTAAATTTAGTCCTAGTATAGTAATAAATAATTTTATCCCTTTATATTTTTTTCTAAAAGAAAATAAATATTTAAATAAATTAATTGATGCATATTGAACATGGTTCAAAAATTTAAAAAATAAATGTGAATCAACATGTCAAGACATTAGTTTCGTGTCATTTATAGTAAAACTAAATGTCATGGCGAAATGTTTAGAAAACAAATAAGAGAAAAAGTGAATAGAATGACTTGATTGAACAAAGAAAATAATACAAAGACTAAATTAATTGCTTTGCTTTTTATTATACTTTTTCTGTCCAAAATTTTTTTTCCCTGTTTTAACTTGGCACGAATATTAAGAAAAATTTAAAAATGTAAAGACTTTACATGTTTTATCCTTGATGTGATGGAATAAAGTGAATAACATAGAGAAAAAATATGGGTATAATGGTGCATTCGTTAAAATCTTTTTGCCAAAATAGGAAACGGAAAAGAATTTTTTAGACAACCCGAATAGGAAAGTGAGAAAAGAAATTAATGGACGGAGGGAGTAAAAACTATTTTGAATAATTTTCGATTATAAATGGACCTTTACAGTATTTTGTCATCATTCTTTCATCCATTAAACATATACTCCTTGCGTTCTAAAAAAGGATTCCTCGTTTGACCAAGTGTAAAAGTAAAGAATTACTGTATTAAATTGTAGTTGACTTCCAATTCTGCCCTTGATATGATGAGTAAAAGTAAGATGTGATAGATGGATTATTAGAGAAAAAGTATGATGTACTCCGTATGGTAATAGTTAAGGGATGCAAAAGTAAGGTTAAAAAATGGTTTTTTAATAGAAAGTGGAAGTGTTTTGTTGCAAGTGGAAAAATGAAAGAGAAAGTATTTTTGAAAACGGAGGGAATATTTATTTCACGCAGAGAAGATGGATTAATCTAGTGATAGATGGATTAATCGAGTGATAGATGTATAGTGATTGATTTGTGTTATGAATGATAGAGTAGGATATTATTATTATTCCCTCCGTCCACGTAAGATCTTTCCATTACGCGTTACGATGCTTGACCGACTTTATTTTCAATTTGATTTATTTGATTGTAGGGGTAAAATTTAAAAATGAAATTTATATAGTAAAAAATGCATAAAAAGTTTTACAAAAGTAGAGGTAATAACAAGAATATACTCCCTCCGTTCCACAAAACCCTTCCGGTTTTGACTTTGGGGAAAAATAAGAAAAGTGAAATTTTGGTAGACTTTCCAATTTTGCCCCTGATGTGATGGGAAAAAGTAAGATGTGATAGTTTGGTTATTAGTGAAAAAGTATGAT